ATATTCATTTGTCAATTAATTAAGTGTAATATACCCAAGTCAACAATTTTATTACTCACAATTAGACATTTATTTTAATTAATTACTTGGGTACTTTTTTTACACCAAACAATACCCTCACACTGTCATTAGAGGCCTCAAACAATGTGACACCCAGTCCAGTAATATATATCATTGATTTAGACTAAAGATCTGATGTGGTGTGTGGATTTGCATACATGTACATGTGACAGTAGGGTTGTGTGTGTGCACAGATCACTAAGGTTAGATGGCCGTAATTAAGCAGTAACAATAAAATTACATTTTTTTTTGCCTGTGACTATTGCTATTTAAATTCTTATCTCATTAATCCTAATTTATGTTAAACTACATGAATAGGTGTATGTTGCAAATGCAACCATGGGGAGGTATTTGTGGATTGTCAGCTTAGCCTCAGCTTGTTGCCCTGTAACAAATCCTTAAACAGTATTATCAAGAAAATAATTGGCGTTCCTCGTGTGGGTTGCTGTTAAAGTTGAGGATGTTTCTTTAGGGCTGTTTACTGGCAAGAATTTGGTGATATATATATAAACACAGTGGTCACAATATGATATATCACAATATATTGTGAGACTGTAAGCAAGGCGATGTATTGCCATTTTAATTAGAGTGATTTCTGTTGAAGCTGAGGATGTTTCTTTATGCAATAACTTGCCACTGCCAGTATTCCCCATGCATGAGAAAAACTGGAGCAGTAAACTCTTGTTATTGGTATAAGTATTAAAACCACTTTGTTCAGATTTATGATGTTCAAAATATTTGCACTGAGACTGCCTATAATCTAAAGGCTATTTTAGTCTTAAATCTATATGCATATGACCTGATACAATAATTGTACAACCTAAAAATAATGATTTTGATGATGAGGAAAGAAAATTCTATTAAAACAGTGATAAAAAATATCCTGACTTAAATTCTTCACTTTAGTTGTGTCAAATATTTGGCCCAAATCAGAGCAATTTTCTTTAAACACTACAATTAAGTTGTTACACTTTACTTTAGCTGTTCTCTTGCTTCATTAAAATAGAATCCTTATGTTTTTTTTTCCGTGCACAGATTTGTTTTGTGCACTTTTCATTTATGTTTTGAATCCARCATGAATTTAAATATTTCCTTTCTACATTAATTTATAATGTCAAATGATCATAAATTAACACAAAAAATGATAGACTTAAGAAAACTGGGTCTCAGTCAGTGAGTACTGAGCTAAAAGGTTAAAGATGTTTCAGATTTTCAGTCAGCATGACTCCAAATTAATTTAGAGTTTTATTAACTAATTAAAGCTGTTGTAGTGAAACCAAAAATGTGTCGAACCCGTCACAACGAAACTGAGTTTTGGCTGATTGGAAGTTTTTTATTTATGTTGTAAGTTAATCAGAACCACATCCACCTTGATGTCCTTTTCACTTGGAGATAATAAACTTAAAAGTTAACATGTTGATGCTTATAAGTGACTTTGCTTTTGTTTCCTTCTCTTTCAGTCGGGTGATTCTTCCGATCTCTGTGGAAGAGGTGAGTTTGATATCTGTTCCTTGCATTTGTTAATTCGGAGCATTTATTCAGTTGTTGGATAACTTTCAGATCTCATTTTTCTTTTACTTTTATTTCTTTTGGTTCAAATCATTTTCATAAAAGAAGAACTTTTCCCCTCAATCATCAAAGCTGCTCTTTCTCTGTTCAACCTTGGAATTTTATGATATATTAGCATGTTCTGGCAACATTTTTTTTGTAATATCAGATAAATTGTCCAGTCTAAGCCCAGAAAACCCAGTTGTGATCACCTATAGGACYTAAACAGCACTTCACTGTTAGGACAGTGTATTGGCAAGAATTTGGTGATATGATACATTTCACGACACAGGGGTCACAATATGATATATTGTGATGTARTGCAATACTGTAAGCAAGGCGATATATTGCCTTTTTATCTCTGAAAGAATTTAATTTTAAAAAATGCAATATAAAGAGCACACCATGCATTACATGCAAAAAATCTGAACAAACTCAGACATTTGTATGCTTTTGAGAATCATTACAGTATCAGTAAATAAAATAGTGTGATATTTGAGTTTTTTATATATTCTTACATCCTTCCCTTACCCTATTCACTGTCCATATCGGTCTGTCTGTGTCTTATTTCCTCTTCAGTTTGCTGCTCTGTGGAGGCCTGCATTGTAAATGAGTCATCTGAAACTACTTCCATGACATCACATGTTCGCATACTCCATATATGGCTTTAAATTCATGGGTTGTTACAGTATTAACCCACCCGTAAAGTACTTTACTTTTGAGACATTTGGTTTAGGTTGTTTTATTTGTGACACAACAAATGTTTAAACCACTTTGCTTACTCTGACACTCACTGCAGTCCGAGTGTGAAGGACTTCTAAATCTGAGACTTGAATTTTTTTTTTAAATCAAGATGACAGAAYATAAAAGGATGTAACAATTTTGATGACGTCAGAGGATGTAGTCAAGTTGAATTATGATTTGTTTGGTAATATTTGGTAACAAATCCAGGAAGAGAAAGAGTCAATGTAACTGGACTGTATTCAAATTTGTTCTGAGGCTTCATTTTCCATTTATTATCATTTTGCTTCAAATTCCTCCAGACGCTTCCCTGCTTTTTTCCACTCGCTGACTCTTGAAAGCATCAGTTATTTATTATTTGCCACTAAATAAGATCTATGGCTCWTTGCAGCCGCTCTAATGCTTGATTCAATCTGCCATCTGTTGCCCACAATTCAGTTTGAAATCCTTTGACTTTTGCAAATCGATTCAATGAGAAATTGTTTGACAAATGAAATCCAAATGCTGAAACTTATTGAAAAGTTGCACTAAAAATTGAATATCCTGTCTAAATCTTTTACTTTAGTGGGAAAGTTTTATCCAAGCTTTTTTTTTCGGGAGGGGGGGGGGTTATTGAAACAATTTGAACCTTTCTGCTAAATAAAAACAAACCCAAGTCTTTAGTCTCTTATAGTAGGGCCATTTTTCAGAAGGTGGATACACCCCATCTGACCCCGTCTCCCTGCAGAAATGATCCAATAATTGTTTAAGGAACAAGGAGTTTCATGCCTTTACTTCGCTTCAAAAACTTTTTGGATTTCAGTCAAGCATCAAGAACCACGGCACCAGAAACAATTCAGTCATGTAATCAATAAAGCATTTAATTCATTAGTCAGTCAATCAGTGTCTTAATAAAAACTCTTCCTCAAAAAAAATGATCATGATGTTTTGATTGATTGGAAATTATTCATACTTTCCATTTTCTAAATTATTGCCAAAGGAAGCATACTGTATGTCTTATGAAAGCCGTTGTATAATTCAGGCCTTGTTGACTCATTCTGTTGGTTTATCCTCTTGTCTCGWAAGAAAGTGCTGCTCCAGCTTTGCACAAAGGTCATAAAATGGATTAGAAGTTATTAGGAAGTAAAAAGAAGCCATTGTCCCCATGTTTGAACAGTTTCATGTACAATGTTCTGGATGAGGAAGGTGGAAAATGAGATGGAGTGGGAAGTGCGAAACTCAGCTTCTCCGCATGACGAGTAAAAACTGTCAAAGATAGTGCTGAGTATGAAGAAATGAGCCATAAAGATAGTGTAAAATGTCTGAGTGAAACGAATAACTCATTGTATCGTTTTGTGTGTTTCAGTATCAGGTTGGCCAGCTGTACTCTGTGGCTGAAGCCAGTAAGAATGAGACGGGTGGAGGTGAAGGGGTGGAGGTGCTAAAGAACGAACCCTATGAGAATAATGGAGAAAAGGGGCAGTATACACACAAAATTTATCATTTGCAGAGGTAAGCATGTTTAGAGGATAATATTGGTCATTTTTTAGAAGAAATGCAGATTGCCCACTGCCTTTCATGCCAGAATTGAGAAATTATAGCGTTTTACCTGTTTTGGTCAAATCTTGAACTTAACGTTAAGCGATGGGGGGCAGATGTAAAATAAAATATTAAAAAATGTCACTAATACATTTTCGTTTTTAGTTCACTTTCTGGGTGTAAAAGTCTAGTCAGAAAAATCCACCAACACGTTATTGTTATTTAGCTTATTGTTCATACATTTAGCTATTTTTCCTAATGTTAAATTTAAATATTAAATGTTTAATGGAAACACTAAACCCTAAATCTAAATGTGAAATCTAAATGTAAAAGTTATGTCTTAAATTCTGTGGCTAAATGTGGAAATTTTACTTTTAAGTACTTCGAAATGGAACGCAGTCTTTGCCGTTGGTGCTCGACTCATGTTGTGATGTCATCATCCTGAGACAAAAGCAACCGCTAARGCTGCTGAAGATAGCATTTYAATTTTAAATTCAAAATGTGTTCATTGAAAACAACATGGATGATACTTGTGGTCCAACTTAATTCGATGTCTTTTATGAAAGTGTTTTTGTACGTTAGCGGTGTTAGCAGCGTTTGATGCCTTAGCAGTGTTAGCCGTTGCTATTGTCTCAGGATGATGATGTCACAAGAGCCGTGCACCAATGAAAAAGGCTGTGTTCCATTCTGCTTAAGCATAAACTCTAAAATTGAACCACAATTTAAAATTTTACTTTTACATTTAGATTTAGAAGTTAATATTTAAACGTTACATTTAACATTTAAATTGAATATTTAGTAAAAAAAAAACGTTGAATAAAAAAACAGTCAGCTAAATAACAATAAAATGTTACTGGACATTTTTTAACTAGAATTTTACACTCAGAAACTGAGCTAAATAATGAAAATGTGTAAATGACATTTTTTTTAGCATTTTATTTAACACTTGGTGCCGGTTTTGTGCACTTGCGTGACTTGCATAATTTGCAAATGTTTTGTTTAAACTTTGGCATGCAATACAGTGGGCAATTTGCATTCCTTCTCTTTTCATGTTCATCCATTAGACATAATTTGTACCTTTATCCCAATGTTACCAATTCRGCTTTGTGTTATGTACCTCCTGGTTATTGTTTAGTCCGATTAGTGCTCTTCTTTAGATGTGCTCTGTTTTTACCCTGCAGTAAAGTGCCGTCATTCGTCAGAATGTTGGCTCCGTCTTCAGCCCTCAACATCCATGAGAAGGCCTGGAACGCATACCCATACTGTCGTACAGGTGTGTTCACACGCAGGAGTTAGAATAGCATGCAAAGATGTACACAGTTTGATATTTTAAATGTTTGTAAATTCAGAGAGTTTTTTGAGTAGTTATTAGTCAGTACAGTTGATCTGCTAAACATAAAATCGGGCSAAGCAGCCTGGCCTAAATGGGACCACAGCTCTCACAGTTCCAGAAATTGGGGTGAACCCAGCTAATGAAAAAATGCTGAACTCAGGTTTGAACCCTGACTCAAAATGATTTAAAGGAACATCAGATTCTTCTCTGTGTTGTTAGCCAACTTAGGAATACTCGTGCAGACGTTCCCCTTTTACATCACTTCCTGTTATTTCAAATGCAAATATCTCAACTGCTCATCTCAGCGGTGTGAATTTTTTCTTTGCGATATGTTATCAGTGTTATCTTTTCAAAAATGCATTCACATTTCCTACAAAAATTTAATGTCACATGACCTATGTTGGGTTGTTTGTCAATTATGAGAATATTCCATTTCACTGGACAAGAGATTATTTTCACAGTCATCAATTTAATTAATCTGCTGGAAGTGTGTCAAATAAAAGAAATAATAGAGCTCAACAAAGTTTTGTAAATTTTGCTCCTATAAAAGTGTAAATACGAGTGACTCAGTGACTTCAGGTCAAAGATGKTGCTGTGCTCTGGATATGTCTTCTCTGTTCTCTCTCTGTGTCTTTGGATCTCTGTCACCTTCCAGGAGTAGTTGAATAATTTAGTAAATGTCCAGTCAGAAGAGCCGCGCAATCATTTGAGCCTTTCAGGCCAAGATCACACACTCGTARACTCTGCCAGCTGCCAGGCAGCCATCTGTCATGCAAACACATTCAGCGATGCAAACAGAATCTGAGTTCACAATTCTTCATGACAACAACCATTTTCTAGACATTTAAATTCTAGGAAATTCTCTAAAAACTAATATGTTTCTTCAATGTTTTTCAACTGGATTAATTGTGTCATACTCTCTCTTCTCCCTGTTTGGTTCTGCTTTTTCCTTTGGTTCCTCTCTGCAGTGATCACAGTGAGTATTTACGTTGTTTGCATTTGTTTTAGTAGATATCAACACAATGGATACACTAAACTTGGATGCACATGAAGGAGGCACCGCATCCTGAAAGCTGAGAGAGAAATGCGATCGTTTTCAGCGACACAGCAGCAGGGATAGTTAGACGCCATGACTGTGTGTGTGTGCATGTGTGTGTCACGACGAGAGCAGGAACATTACAGTTGCACCTTTCATGTTTTTTTTTTTTTACCTTTTTTCTATTGAATTTGTTCTCTCACTTCACACTGTTGCTTCTCTTTTCTCTACAGAACGAGTACATGAAAGATAACTTCCTGATCAAGATTGAGACATGGCACAAACCTGACATGGGACACCAAGAAAATGTTAGTAAATTAGACCACAGGCTGTGGATCCAATATGTTTGTCTGAACATTTTTTGATACCTTTAGATTAACATTGTTGTTTGTTTTGGTATAACTTTAAATAAAGCAACTGGTAAGTATTTTAAAATGCCAGTACAATTGTACAATCCCAGTTCTCTCATAGTTATTGTTGTGTTGCTGATAATGCAACTGCCTGTCTATTTGTTTGTTAGCAAAATATCTCATAAATCAATTGATGAATTGTAATGACCTCCTCAGCACTCCATGTAAATCTGAAGCTGGCTAACTTTTTGAGTTTGATTCGTAATGGCCACCATCAAACTTAGACACAAAAATGTCTGTAATTGAGTCAGTTTTCCAAAAATTCAGTGGTGGGCAGCGCTAATCCAAAAACAAGCTCCACAATTTCTAAAACAATTATGAAAATATTTAGGTCCGCAACTTCAAAAATACTTATGCCATAGAAAAACTAGTAGAAGCTAATTTTAAAGCGCGAGTTCAATTTGACAATTACTAGCCAGCAACAAATCACGCACAATATATGCACAACACTGCCAACTAGTGGTGTATGAACTCTTTTACATCTTAATTCTACAACTGCCGATTGCTGGGGATGTGATTTCCTGAAACAGACCTTTAGCTCCTGGTGTAATAATTAAGTTGTTGAGGATTGCTAGTTCGGCTGCTTCTTTGTCTTTTTCTTTTGTTGTAGATTTTTTATTAAAGAAGCATCAACAAAGTAATTTTAAAACTGTTTATTGGAAAACTGAAGCGATGAATTCTGGGTACATGACAGGTTTGATTTGTGATGGGAAATGAAAGCACGGAGTCCAGGAAACTATCTTCACTTCAAAATAAGAGCTTGGATTTTAAAGTTTTCCATGTAGTTGCTCCAGTTGACCACTAGATGTCTGTCTTCACCAGCTTAACATCTTTAAATCATTTCTGCATCTCTAGCCCCGTTGCTTCGATCAATTATGTCAAGTATTGAGCTCCAGCGTTTAAACTTTATTTTTTTTAAACAGGAGGTCCYATTGTAAAGTAAAATAAATCAATACATACAAAATTTTAGTATGGATTACAAACGTTAACTGTTTTTGCTATTGCCTTCCTGCTACGTAAGCAGACACAAAGCWTTGTGGGAAATGAGAACCTTGACTGAAAGCAACAGTCAGCAGGATGTATACCTTCTCAATAAGTGTGTTTATCTGGGAGGGGTGCTGTTGGATAGATCATGTGTGTTGTGATTCATTGACAGCCATACCTTCCGCTGTTCAAGATGATGACTGGTAGATAATTAGTTATTAGCGGTACTGCATTTTAATTTTAGAAAGCGCAAATACGCRTATGAATTATAAAAATTTGTAAYACCYCTAAAGCGCAAATGAAATATTTAGGTCTYCAATTAGCGGATTTGCGCTTTAGCGTGCTGGTGCCCACCACTGCAGATMTTAAGCTAAAGTTTGGTGTGGTAGTAGCTGAGAGTCATCTCTAAKAGAGCACTAGCAGATCCCATAAGAAATGTTTCGAAGCAAAYTGCTGGGCAGTATACCTTCTTTCATTTCCCACTATTTTCTTGTCTTCTAATTAAATGTCAGGCTCCTTRAGCACATCCTCTACTTTACGCTGGTGTGAGGCCAAGAAAGCCAAAAATCTTTGTGGTTCTGTTTCAGGTACATGGTTTAGATGCAGAAACCTGGAAGAAGGTGGACGTAGTCTATATTGATATTGCAGACCGAAGCCAGGTGGAGCCAAAGGTGAGCATGTTAGCCCTAAAGCTGAGACGATTGAAGCAGTGTGTCTCATGTTTGTTTTTGTTGTTTCTTTCATCAGGATTACAAGCCAGAGGAGGACCCTTGTAGGTACAAGTCAGTGAAGACGGGACGAGGTCCTCTAGGACCAGACTGGAAGGTAAAAATTTAGCTGTGAATTTCCCTTGTGGATAAGAACTCAGCATAGCACAAGTTTATAAGTGTGTAGCTCAAAACCTGTTGTTGACCTTAAGAAGAAAAGCACCTATTTGTGTTTGTGTTCTTGCAGAAGGAGCTTCCTAACAAAAAAGACTGCCCACACATGTGTGCCTACAAACTGGTCACAGTCAAGTTCAAGTGGTGGGGTCTGCAAAACAAAGTGGAGAGCTTCATTCAGAAGGTTTGCTGACAGTTATTTCTTCGTTGTTACGTTGTCTGGATACTGCTTGTTTGACACGATGATGATCAAGTCAGGAAATATATTTTATTTCACTTGCATGTGTGTTAAGAGCCATTGGCTCATGCAAACAGTTGTAGAAGATAAATAGAAAAAACTATCAAGAAAAACAGGCGTAAACAAGTAAGAATAGCTTCCATTAAACACAACCTTTTTGTAAATTGTGCTTTGTCTGACAGCAAGAGAAGCGCTTGTTCACTAATTTCCACCGCCAGCTGTTCTGCTGGATTGATAAGTGGATTGAGTTGAACATGGAGGACATTCGTCGCATGGAGGAGGAGACGCGTAAGGAGCTAGATGAGGTAAGACAAAAGACAGATCAGCTATTAATACAGGGCTGATAGTATTCTGACACTGTGTCTGTTATAAATGGTTGTTTATATTTCTTTAGTTGTTGGAATTTAAAAATATTCATTAGGGATGTGTTGAATAATGGTTTATTAGATTAAAAAATGTTCTGATCAATTAACTGTTATCGTCTGCCCGTGCATCACTTGGTCCATTTAAACCGCTGTAACCAGAAAGGTGTGCCTTCTCTGAGACTCTGTTTCAATTCGAGCTAACAAACTTTAAACCATTTTTTAAATTGTGTTGTTAGGTGAAGTAGAACCGGAGATATGATAAATAGTGTACCCCACACTTTATTTTCTTAAAATGCTGTTTGATGCGCATCGCGAGAAGGAAACACGTAATAATAATAAATTAATTATAGTTTTAAATCTAAAAATCATTTTATTTTTCATCTGTTTTTCCTCCATTCAGCAGCCTAATAGATTTCTATTTTGTTATATTTTATAAAAAAAAATTATGTCCAAGTTTAATGTGTGAGAAAACCACAATTATTTGTTTATTCAGTATGTAACACAGC